ATTTCTGCGTGGGTGAGACTGGGCTCGGGATGCTGTGGGGGTGGTGCAGGTTGATTGAGAGAGACAAGCATCAGGGGCGGCTCAGGTGCGATGGGAGGAGTGTGGGGTGTCCAGAGCCTCCGTGATCAGCAGAGAAGCCTGTGCTCCAAGTGACCCCCTGACCGGAACTTTTCTCCATGGTCCCCACTCCCAACTTCCCCAGGTCCTATCTGAGCCCCCAATCAACCAGGACCTGGAAGAGCCCTAAGAAGGCAAACCGGACCAGCTCCTCCCTGGCAAACCAGCCGGGTAGGTCTGCAGGTGCCAGGGTGGAGGGTGGAGCAGCAGGCAACAGAGCTGACAAATGCCTGGGCTCTGAGGGCTCTGGGGAGCAGCCAGGGGAAAGCCACCGGGTTTGGCCTACAGCTGGCTCTGGGGCCCGTGGCTCTGAGGCCTGTGGCTCTGGAGGTAGGATTAGAGACAGCTGGTTTGGAGGCAGGATTTGATCAGACATTATTACTCATTCTTAAAAGTTATTAGAAGCAATTTGTCAATTGTTAAGGAACACTCACTGGAGAGACCAGGTATCAAGACACCTGGGTTGCTCATTAAAAAATGTAAGTCCGCCTCAAGCCTGCAAAATCAGAATCCCTAGGCAGGTGTTAGGGACTCGAATCTTTATTTTATTTTTATTCTTTTGTTAATCCTCACCTGAGGATATTTTTTCCATTGACTTTTAGAGAGAGTAGAAGGGGGTGGGAAAAGAGGGGAACATGTGAGAGAGACACATTGATTGATTGGTTGCCTCTTGTACACTCTCCAACCGGGGCGGGGGATCGAACCTGCAACCCAGGCCCTTGACCGGGAATCAAACTGTTGATCCTTCAGCTCACAGGATGATGCTCCAAACACTGAGCAACACTGGCCAACGCCCAAACTTTATTTTTAAAAGCCCTCTCGAATAATTGTGATGCTCAGAGGTTTAGAAATTATTCCCAGGTCTTTAAAAAAACATGTCCTTGGAGCCCTCAATCTCTGAGTCCGCTATTTACCTGTGTTTCTTTGGGAAGGTGATTTAACCTCTCTGAGCTTCATTTGCTTCATCTGGAAAAGGGAGTAACCATATACCTCTTAGGGCTGCCATTAGGAATACACGCAATTGCCACACTGAGCGCTAGGTTTGGGGCCTGGCACAGAGCATGTGCTCAGCGTGTTAGCTGCCCGGATTTTTATTGCAGCTGGGATCCTTGGGGATTCTGGGATGAAACAAGGAACCGAGAGGTAAAGGTCAGGAGAGGATCTGCTCCTGTTCAGAGTTCCCGATGTTGGGAACGAGGGGCTCACTGAGAAGAGAGCAGGGCCTCCTACTCAGAGAAATTAGGAGAGGGGCCAAGGCCAAGCCCAATGTCAAAGCTGAAGCTGTTCATTACTGAACGCTGGCCTGGCTGTTAGGTCAGGGCCGTGTGCAGATGCAACTTGTAAGAAGCATAACAGAGATTTGTAGTTAAGACCTTGGGCTTAGCTCAGAGGTTTGGGTTCAAGTTCTGACTCCTTTTATTAATGCGTGACCTTGGGTAAGACACTCAGGAGAGGATGAGCCTCTGCCAGGGTGCAGAGCAGCACATGGCAGCCAGGCTCTGAGGTTTGGACCTGTGACCTTAGCAGATGGCTCCACCCCGAGCTTCAGTTTGGGCTTCCTGAACTGGGGATGCATGGGAGGACCTCACCCAGCCACACTGACCCACAGCGTTTTCTAAATGTTGGTTATTACTCCCCTCCAACCCTTTCTGGGGAAACCTTTGCTTGTAGCTGGGCCCCTTGCCTGGCCTTCCTCCTCTCTCTCCCTTCCCGAGGTGTCCCCTTCTTTTTTTTTTATTTTTTATAATATATTTTATTCATTTTTTATAGAGAGGAAGGGAGAGGGAGAGAGAGTTAGAAACATCAATGAGAGAATCATCAATCAGCTGCCTCCTTCACATCCCACACCGGGGACGTGCCGGCAACCAAGGTACATGCCCTTGACTGGAATCGAACCTGGGACCTTTCAGTTCGCAGGCTGACGCTCTATCCACTGAGCCAAACCGGTTTTGGCTGTCCCCTTCTTCTGAGCAAAGCTAAAGCGGGGTGCTGGCCTGGCTGTAGTGGGTTCCACCTCGTTAGGGTGCATACGAAAGGAACTGAGAGATGTTTCTCTCTCTCTCTCTCTCTCTCTCTCTCTCTCTCTCTCTCTCTCTCTCTCAAAAGCAATAAACATATCCTCGGGTGAGGATTAAAAAAAAATCATGTTACTATAAAAACACCATTAAAAAAAAAAGACAAACAATGAGAGGTGCCAGCCGGTGACACTCCCTCGGGGAGGTCAGGCTGCCCAGGGATGACCCCTTTGGTTGCCAGGGACGAGAATGCAGGCGGTTTTGAAATTGTGTTTTGAATTTCTGTTTTGCCAGGTGATAAATATTTTCAGGGAACTTTGCCCTGGACGTGATCAAACAGAGGGCGCCCTACAAGGTCAGAGTTACTCTGGGCGGCTTGTTTTCCGCAGGCTGGAGAAATGTCACACTCTATCCACATCTCACAGCCAGGGGGCTTCTTACTGACTTGGGGGGAGGAGGGGTCTCACTCCTGGGAGGAGTGCTGCCAGAGAAACCCTCTCTTCTCTAAGGGGCGCTGGGAGAATGGAGTCTGCGGCTCCAGACTTGCCAGTGAGGCCCTCCAGGCATAGTCTCCTGGCTGCCGGGCTCATCTCTGAGCAGACACTGCCCCCTTGGGGCAGCCTCTCGCCATGACATCTGGAAGAAGGGACTTGCAAAAGAAGGAAATGGTCCCAGATGATGCTTTCCTTCCAAGCGTTCTATTTAGTGCCTTAAAATTGGACCCTGACCTGGCCAGTTTGCTCAGCGGATAGAGTGTCGGCCTGCGGGCTGAAGGCTCCTGGGTTCGAATCCGGTCACGGGCATATGCCTGGGTTGTGGGCTCGGTCCCCCGTGTGGGGTATGCAGGAGGCAGCCAATCAATGATTCTCTCTCATCATTGATGTTCTATCTCGCTCCCTCTCCATTCCTCTCTGAAATCAATAAAAATGTTTTTAAAAAATATTAAAATTGGCCCCTAGTGCAAGTCTTTGGAGCACTGGCAGCGTATTCGTCCTCAGCTTCCAAAGCTGGAACCTACCCTCGTGCCTTTGTTGCCTTCCAGAAGAGATGCAACGCAGGGGACTGCCAGAAAGCAAGGACACGGCCTAAGAGATTCAGGGGCTTAGGGGACGAGTGACAAGTGCCCTTGCTTTCTAGTAAAAATAACGGTATGGAGGTAAGGGACAGGAGGAAAGATATTGTACCTTGCTGTAAGTTTTTATTTTTATTTTGTTAATCCTCATTGAGGATATTTTCCCATTGATTTTTAGAGAGAGTGGAAGGAAGCGGAGAGCCAGACAGAGAAACATTGATGTAAAGTTTTATACTAAAAAGGGGATGGGAGAAATAAAGAGAGCATCAGCTACAGGATTAATTAAGCGAGAATGAGAACTCGGTGAGCTCAGAGGTGCTGTGGTGGGGTGTGGAGACGTGGGTCCCATCACTCCTGTATTGCCAGCAGGATGGTAACTTTGAGTGCTGGATTTTCAAATCCTCAGAGTTAAATCATCAAGCATGTGAGTTGCAGGAAATGGAACTGCATCCATTCCCTCCCCCAAAATATTGGTCACCACGCAGAGCTGCGCTGGAATGTGTTTGGGTTCCTTTTCTAACCACTCCCCACCTGGACTCAGTCCTTTCCTGCCCTGGACCCAAGCTCTCTGCTTCCGGTCCTTTGCAAATACCGCATGGCTCCTGGAACTCTCTCCTGCATTCCTGCTGGCTGACTCCTCCTTTCTAACCACAGGCATTGCCTGCTGATGTCTCTTCTCCCTGGAAGTTTCCCTGCGTCCCAAGTTGGTGAGGTGCCACTCAAATGTGCTCCTGTAACCCAAACCCTTTTATCAAACATATCATGTTTCTTAGCTCCCGGATCTCCTGCTGGGAGGGGAGCAGAGACTGAGAGACCATGGCTCCCTGCTCCTGGTATTGACTTTTAAAATTAAAAAATATATATATATTTTGATTGATTGGTTGGTTTTTAGAAATGATTCTTACTTCACCTCATGACAGCTTATGCCCAAGGGCTGCTGTCACATCTGAACTCTTATGTGAATGCCCAGCAGGACAGGGCCAGAGCGGCAGCTGGAGTAGTCAGAACTCCTAGCAGGTCTGGAGGGAAATGCTGCATTCTGGATTGCACCGAGCAGTTGCGACACTCCAGTTTCACCCCTGCCAGTGATAGTTGGTCACGATAAGCGACACCCAATGAAGAAGTGACAGCTCACCCTTGCTTGGCAGCGGTTACAACTAGGGATCGGAACCTCATTCTGCAGATCAGTTTATAAGGTAAGAAATCTCAATTTTGCTATTTCACTCTCAGCTCTTACTTGCTTGTTCCCAACCCAGAAAGGCAGTACTGCAAACCAACAGCTTCAGAGTTAGACTTGAGCTCGAATCCCTGCTCTGCTACTTACTGGCTGTGTGACCTTGGGCAAGTCACTTTGCCTCTCTGAGCCTCAATTTCCTCATCTGAAAAGAGGGGACAACAAAACTAAATCCTCATAGGATGGATTTTAGCATCTGAGATAATGGACGTAAAGCACTTAGCACAGAGCCCGGCTTACATAAGATTGTTCTAACAAAGGCAGGCGGGCTCCAGGGTGAGATGGGGCTACCAGAGGAGAGAGACAGCATCCAGATTCACATCAACATTATCTACATGCTTTGCCCTGGCTGGTTTGGCTCAGTGGATAGAGCGTCGGCTTGCGGACTGAAGGGTCCCAGGTTCGATTCTGGTCAAGGGCATGTACCTTGGTTGCAGGCACATCCCCAGTAGGAGGTGTGCAGGAGGCAACTGATTGATATTTCTCTCTCATCGATGTTTCTAACTCTCCCTCTCCCTTCCTCTCTGTAAAAAATCAATAAATATATATGTATATTTTAAAAAAGATTATCTACATGTTTATTTACAAATAGGACAACGTACATACATACACACATATCACTGGGCCACCTCAGGAGTCCTGGAGCTGGAAACACACCGTCTGCCTCCCCGGGCTCCCTGGAAAAGGGCTGCTGGCACTTCATCGCCTGTTCCGGTGGCCGTGGACAAGGCGTGGGAGCCTCCGCTCAGTCACTCACGTCCAGGCCAAATTCTGGATACAACTCTTTGGTGGCGACACCTCGGATCACGGCTGAAAGGAAGGATGAATGCCCAGTGGGGGAATGGCCACATCCCTGACCACCCAGCCCCCACTCCTACACCTTCTTCCTGCTCCCCCAGTTGCCAAGGTAACCCTCCTGCCTGGCCATCCTAATCTACAATAGACTCACTGAACCCGCACCCCACTTTGCAGAGGAGCCAAACAAAGCTCCCCTTGAATCTTTGCTCCACCCGGAGCAGCTGGAGCCATCTGCTGAGAATGAAAGTGCACATTTGGTCTATGCAGCGCCTGTGGCACACCCGGCCTCCTTAATCTGGCCCCACTGCCGTGCCCTGGCCGTGTGGCGACACTTCCTCCTGCTCCCTCCAAGGCCCTTTCCTCCAATGGGACGGGCTCACCTCAGAGGCCTCCGCTGACTCCCCTCGCCCCCACTTGCCACCTGTTCCTGCCTCTCCATCTCTGCCCTTGGATTCATTCCTTCATGGCACTTAACACATTTTATAACTCCTTTGTGTTCTTTAGTTAGTGACCACTCCCCTCCCCTCCAACATGGAAACGGAAGTCACATGTCCATTCTCCAAAGTGTGCCCATGCCTAGGAGAGCAGCACAGGCAGGCGCTCAGTAAACTCTCACTGAGCAAGTGCAAGCCGACAGGCCGCCCGCTCCAGCTCCTAGGACCTAAGGACAGGTCTCCAGCTGGGGTCTGTCTAGCGAGCACATGTCCTAACCACTAGGCCACAGTCACCTTGCATCCCTTCTCCCTGGCCCTGCTCATCCTCCTCTCTTCACCATCGATAACTCCCTCATCCTGTCTGCTTTCCCCTCGTTTGGGACCCGCTCCTCACTGAAACAGAGAAGCCCTCCTTGGGGCAGGGGCATTCAGGGAGCGGGGCAGCTGAGAAGGAGGGGGGGTTGGCAAGTTAGAATGCCCAGGAGATGGCCATGGCCGGGTAGCTCAGTTGGTTAAGAGTCGCCTTGATATGTTAAGGTTGCAGGTTTGATCCTAGCTCAGGGAACGTACAAGAATCACCCGTGAATACATAAATAAGTGGAACAACAAATTGACTTATATTTTTCTTCCTTCCTCTGCCCCCCCACCCCTATTTTCTCTCTCCCCACTTTCTCTCTCTCTCTCTCAAATCAATCAATAAAAATTTTATTTTATTATTTTAAAAAATATATTTCTTTATTGACTTCAGAGAGAAAGGGAGAGGGATAGAGAAATAGAAACATCAATGATGAGAATCAATGATTGGTTGCCTCCTGCATGCCCCCTACTGGGGATTGAGACTACAACTTGGGCATGTACCCTTGGCTGGAATCGAACCTGGGACCATTCAGTCTGCAGGCAGACGCTCTATCCACTGAGCCAAACCGGCTAGGGCCAATCAATAAAAAATTTAAAATAAAAACAAAACAGAACAGAGTAGCCCAGGAGGAAAATCCTGCCCCCTGGAGTCCTGCCGCTCACCTAGTTTGCCCAGCAGCATCTGGCCCACATCTTTGATGTCGTTATACTCGTGGAGCTGGGCGATATGGTCCTCCAGCTCATCCACACTGTAGCCTCTGGGCAAGGGAGAAAGAGAAAGGTGATGAGGACCCAAGGTTCGGAGAGTAACAGACTCACAAAGGGCCTACTAAGTGCTCAGCACTGCAGCGTAGAGAAAGCAGGATAGACCCTGCTCACTAATAATAACACTGACAACGTGACCAGTCCCTGGCAAATGCTCCCTGAACCCGTAGAGAGACATCCCAACCACACTGGTACTGTGTGACCCTGGCCACGGCTGAGGGATTCACAGATGGGCACATGAGTGCTATTCAGAAACCCCTCAAGTGGGAAATGCATTCAAAAGCTGCTCAGCCTGAGCCGTGCGGCTGGAGCAAAAGGCGTGGGAAACTCAGGAGCTGTGGAAGAACCAGCTTCCCCCAGGCCCTGAAAACCGCCTGCAGGGAGGAAAGCAGGCGGGGTGCAGACGAAAGCAGAGGCAGATAATGTGGGCCCCGGAGAGGCTGCTGAGACAGCCTGAATCCAGCGGTGCGGTTCCGTCTTTATGCTGAGCTGGAATGACTGGGCACTAGTTGTGTTAAGTACGCTGAGGACCCCAACAAGACTTACTCAGATATTAACTGGGAGATCTCCTTGTCCAGCACGTCCCTCTTCTCCTTCAGCTTCTCAATGTCAAGGTGCAGAGAATCCTCGCTGGCCCCATCAGCCTGGCCAGCCTTGGGAGATGGCCGCTGAGTGGCACAGCCATTAGCTGGACTGGCCACTCCCTGCTTCTGTTTGGTTATAGACACCACCCAACCCCAAAGAAGACCACATTTCCCAGCTTCCCTTGCAAGTAGATGTGGCCCTATAACTTAGTTCTGATAGATGGAACTTAATCAGAAAAGGTGTATGCCATGCCTGGGAACTGTCCTTCCAGGGAGAGGACAGCCTTTCCTGGCCTCCTTCCTGCCAGCTGGAACGTGGAAGTAACCCTGGAGCTGAACGGCATCTTGGATGCTGAGGGTGAAGACGTGGTGGAATGAGACAGAGGCCTGGCTCCCTTAGGACTTTAAGCCACCACTGTTTTGGGTTTTCTTTCACTCCCAGCCAAACCGAATTCTAACTAAAGGGCCTATCCTGGCCCCCAGTCTGACCCCAAGATTCCGCCTCAGGTCTGTGTGGATTCTCGGCGAAGTCACTGGGTTTACAATCTCATTAGCTGACAGAGTCTACAGTCCGGGGCTGTAGTTCATCTGTGCCCTGTCTGCTTCCAAAGGCTCACAGGCCAGTGTGTGGCATGCTGCATATCTTCAGGAAACGTGTGTTGCATCAACAGTCTACATATGATGCAAAAAGAGACCGAGGAAGATGTGGTTCCTATTCTTAGGATGGGGCAGTCACCAAAGAGTGAGTGGGCACCATCTGGCTCCCGGGTTCACGATGGAGAGGACAGCAAGCCTGACCTCTGCTTTCCTGGACCGGACAGCCTCATCCCAAATAGGAAACTCCCAACAATTCCGCTTTTCCTCCTGAGATCTTCACTTAGAGACCACGCACAGGTCACATTCGTCAGGAAGGGCTTCTCTGACCACCCCATTTAAATGGTCTCTCCTCGCCTGACTGGTGTGGCTCAGTGGTCGAGCGTCGACTTATGACCCAGGAGGTCACAGTTCGATTCCCAGTCAGGGCACATGGCCGGGTTGCAGGCTCGATCCCCAGGAGGGGGTGTGCCAGAGGCAACTGATCCATGATTCTCTCTCATCATTAATGTTTCTATCTCTCTCTTCCTCTCTGAAATTAATAAAAATACTTAAAGAAATGGCCTCTTCACTAGTCCTTTGTCCTGATGTTTTATGACAGCTGACATGTCATGCCTTTCATTGATATTACGTGGCTCAGTGCTCGAAATTTGTGCACTGGGGGGAGGGTCCCTCAGCCTGGCCTGTGCCCTTGCAGTCCTGGAGCCCTCACTCCTCACACCCCCCCCCCCCCTCCTTACAGCTCTGCTTGCTGCATCTTAGCCCTGCCTTGAAGGCAGGAGAGGCTCCCACCACCATCCCTGGGCTCACCAGCTGGGAGCCCAGCTCCTGCTGAGAGGCATACCCTCTGTAGGAGCGCACTGACCACCAGGGGGCAGCTCCTGCGTTGAGCGTCTGCCCCCTGGTGGTCAGTGTGCATCATAGCAACCAGGTCTTTCTGGTTGTTCCCCAGTAATGGTCCCTTAGGCTTTTATTATATAGATTATTTTCATTGTTGGCCTTACATCTCTGGAGTGTAAACTCCACGAGGGCAAGGACTGTTATATTTACTGTTGATTGCACTGCATCTACAACCATACCTGGCACACAGTAGGCACTCAATACAACAATTGATCAAATGAATGAGTGAATGACACATTAGTAGTAATCAACTAACGACAAGGTTGAAAAGTGCTTTGAAGCTGGAGTACAGTGTGCTAAGGGGATGTCAAACAGGGTCACTGGATTGAGCCGGAAGTGGGGGTGAGGAAACTCAATTGTAAAGGATGTGTGGGCATCAGCTTGGCAAAAAGCTGGAAGAAGAGCGTTCCACACAGAGGACAGTACATCCCAACGCCCTAAGACAGGGGAGAGCGCATGTGTTTGAGGGAACCGAGTGCTCTGTGTGTGGGTGGGTGGGTGAGGGAGGGGACAGCGTGTGAAAAAGGAACCACCAGCCGCGGTGTGTCAGGGAGGGGGAGAGACGGAGCCCCCTTGGGTGCCACTGACAAGGACAGCACACGCTTCTTCCTGGCAGCTTGGTGGGCACGAGGACAAGGGGAAGGACGGAGAAATGAGCTGGCGGTTCTCAGCAGAACACGCTGGCTAGGGGGAGACTTTCTCGAGGGCTGGGAGCAGCAGGGACTTACAGGGGGAGAGAAAGAGTGTGGGGCCGGGGCACAGGCATACTCACAGGGGATCGGAAGGCCCCGCGGCAACTTTTGGAAAGTCCCGGTTGAGTCCTGGAGAGGAATCCGAGGGAGAAATGGCTGGTTGGGACCAGGATCCGCTCCGGGAAGAAGGGGTACTGTGGGGTGTGGGGGGAGCCAGGGGGACAGCCGGAAAGGGGGCGGATACACTCCCGTGGGGTCAGGGTAGAGGTCCTAGAGGAAGAGGAGATCCTGAGAGGATGGAGCGTGCGGAGGGCCGACTGGGGTCTCTGGAAAGTGGGGAGTCAGGAAAGGGATGTGAAGGGATGAGCTCATCCCCTGCTGTCCGCTCGCAGCCCACCTCCTGAGTCCTGGGGTCCGGGGCCCCCGTGGCGGGGGGGTCTGCAGTGCGGGAGGGTCCAGGTCGGGGGCGGGAGAGCGGCCTCTCAGGTCCGCCCGGTAAGCAAAGTAAGGCGACGGAGGCCCGGAAGGGCCACACGGCGAGCTGCGCGCGCACCCGGCGAGGTTCTGGCCCCGCCCACTCCGAGGTGGGCGGAGACAGCGTTCGCTGCGACTCCGCCTGTTTCTCCCGGCCGGCGCGGACCTGGCCACGCCCCCTTCGTCTTCATCTCTCTCGCGGACCAATGATATCGAAGAAGCGAGGCCACGCCCACCCATCTGCTGCCTGTCGGCGCCTTGGTCCCTCCTTTTTAGCTTCAGTCGCCAAGATGCGCGGTGGCTGCCGGAAGCAATTCCGAGGTGGTTTCCGGGATCGCGGTGATGTGGCCCCCCCGTCTCCCTCCCCTTCCAGAGATGTCGGAAGAAGTCCGACAGAAAAAATTGGCGGAGGCCAGGAAAAAGGTAAAAGGTGCCGAGTCGCGGCTCCCCGACTCAGCCCGAGGTCCCTGGGCGGCCGGACCGTGGCCAGAGCCTGTGCTGCCTCTAGAGGCACACGGGACCGGACCCCGGGCGCCCCTAGGCGTCCCCCCGAAAGTCTGCTCCCAGCCCCGCCCCCCGCCCCCCCACTCCCAGCAGCCCAGCTCCCGCCCTCGCTCGTCCGCCCCGGGTGACTTTGGGCTGGTGACCCCCGAGGTTCCCGGCTCCAGGCTCGGCGCTCGCCTTCTGCCGCCCAGAACCGGACCGCCTGGGCTCCCGGGCTCCCAGGGCTTCCTCTCTGCGGGGACCCGGATCCGGGCCGGCGCTCCCTTCCCCCAGTGCGGAGCGGCGACTTGGGCGTCGGTTGGGAGGAGTGGAATGCAGTTCTGTCACAATCCCCCTGGAAACTGTCATTATCGCCCTGAGCCCCGTGTTTGAATGTTGCGACCCAGTCTCCTAGTGTTTTCATCCCCTTTCGGGTTCTCTGGTCACGGTCCAAATTTCCAGCTTCAAGGGGACTCGGGACTAGGGGACTTAGGTCAGAGAGGTTTCAGGCTCCAGACTGTGCGTCATCCGTAGACACTGGTATCGTGAAAAGCCTGCATTGCCCGGGTGAGCTGAAACTGACCTGCATTGCACTTGTTGTCATTGGGGAGAATGTGTTTGGTTTGGTTTGGTTTTCTCCCAGGTTTCTAACTCTCCAGAGAGACTTTGACATTTTTTAATCTGAATTCTCATAGCTCATGTTCTAATTTCCGATGATTCTGGAATCAGATTGGCCCTCAGTGCTCTTTGGAGCGCTGCACTTCACAGCTGGCAATCCTTCCCAAGTCTCCTCTCAACATGGCGTGCTGGAGTGCCACAGGAGAAATAGCACCAGTTTTGCTGAGTTCTCTTGAGAGAGAAAAAGCCTTTTATGTTAATATACGTAGGAATGACATTTGCATAGGGTTGTAAGGTTATAATAGACTTCTCTGACATGGTGCTTGGGTTGTCTCATTTCTGTTACCGCCCCGGATTCTGTTACCGCCCCGGTGCACCTTCACTGCCTTCTGCCCCTAAGACACATGGATATAGAGCTTTGAGAAGTAGTGGTGTGCATCTCCAACAGATTCAGAAAGAAGGGCCCTTATGTCTGATCACTTAAACGGTCACCCCTTCTCCCTCTGGTTTTGTCCCCTGGCAGCTGCTGCTTTCTGGCATAACCCCAGAACTCAGAGCCAGAAGACTTAGTTGAAATGCTATGACTGCTTTTTTTTTAAAAAAAAAACTTTGTTGCCAGTCCATTTCTTCAGTCATTATGTACGAATTGCAACACTTTGTTGTGGCATTAAGTCAGATGGCGAGTGAATATTTTTTAAACGGTAGGATGGAACTCCACAGGTTTGTAGTCGTCAGGAGTCTCACCGCTTTTCCTTCTTGCAGTTGAGAGAATTCCAGCAGCAGCGAGGCATCGGCGCTCCTTCAGGAGCTAAGAAGAAAAAGAAGGTTAAAAATGGCAGCAGCCCCGAGACAACCACCTCTGACGGTCACTCGCCTGAGGATGTGAGTCCTGGCCTCCGGGGGTAGGAGTGCTCAGGGGCCGTAGAGGGTGGTGGTTAAGATTGTGGAGGAAGTATTCGGTACTGGTTAAGAATTCTGGGTTTGAATTCTTTTATTTTAAAATTAATTTTTATTGTTGAGGGTATTACAGATGTCCCCCATTCCCCCCCCCCCCTTTTTTTTTTTAATTCTCACCCAAGGACATGCTTAGAGTGAGGAAGGGCGAGAGAGAGAGAGAGAGAGAGAGAGAGAGAGAGAGAGAGAGAGAGAGAGAGAGAGAAACATTTATTGGTTGCCGTCTGTATGTGCCCCAATCAGGGATCGAACCAGCAACTCAGTTATGTGCCCTGACCAGGAATGGGACTTGCAAGTTTCCATTGCACAGGTTGATGCTCAACCAACTGAGCCACTATGGCCAGGCTTGAATTCTTAATTCTACCCCTCCCTTTGCTAGGAATATGTTTGGGGCAAATTGTTCAAGCTGTTGGGGCCTGTGTTTTCACATGAGTAAAATCGGGGTAATATTGTGAAGTTTAAATGACATTGTTGTTTTTATATTAATCCCTTAATACAGGGCCTGGTGTGGGTAAATATCCAATGAAGGGTAGTTGCTATTGGTCCTGCTCATCTGGTGGCTTTTCTCACCCCCAGTTTCCTGGGGGAGCCAGGCTGTGAGAACAGCCAGCAAAGGAGCCCGAGGGCCTGGCTCCGGGGTACAATGAGGAGAGGCCAGGGGTACAGAGGAGAACCCCAGGCACTGGATTAGGAAATTTGAGCCGGCCTCTGGGCAGCCTCAGGTAAATCGCTTCCTCCGACTGGCCTCAGTTTCCTCCTTTGTGAGATGATATTATTGGGTCAGATTAGTGTCTTTCAAACTTATTTTTAGCTGTAATCCCTTTTGTTCAAGCAACCCTGTACTTGGAAGCCTGGCTTTTAAAGTGGAGGTGGGGTCCGGAGCCCTGCCAGATTGGTCCCCAGCATCCTGGGCCTGAGGAGAGGGCCTGGAGGGTGTATTCAGAGCTGCACTGGTCAGGTGACTCCACTCCACGTGACCGCTTCGCTCAGGGGGCTTGTCCATCTGTTCATTTGCGTTGATTCCTGCCTGGGGCAAGGCAGCCAGTGTCTGTCTGGAAAGGTGGCACCGGCCATGGTATTGATCCCCTTCTCTCTTCTCTAGCATTGAAATCCCCCGACCCATCTCTTCTTTCTTTCCTGCCCCTCTTGCCTCTCTCTAAGCCACTTTTCTGTTTCTCCCCCTACCCTTGTTTTTGCCTTTTCGCTTCCTGTAGATTCAGGATATTCTGAAGGTGTTGGTGTCCGACCTTACCCATCCCAATGGGGTAGCGCTCGCCCCATTGCACGATTGGAAGGTGAGGCAGTGCTGAGACCCCTGTCTGGCTTGCTCTCTCCCAGCTGCGCATGTCCCCGAGGCTTCTCTGGTTTGGGGGGTTCTTTAAACTCCGGCTTATTTTTTATGTTGCTCTCATTAGCCCTCGGCCTGCTCATGTCTGCTTTTTCACCTGCTTGGTTGATTGGGTTTGTTTTCTTCCCCCACCTCTTTTATCCTCTTGGAGCAGATGAGATGCACCTTGAAGGTTCAAGGTAATTTGGGAATAGCTTCCAGAACAGGTGTGTGGGGGTTGAGTGTTTTTGAACCTCAAGTGTTTGAATGGCCAGTGGTGCTCTCAGACTAAGAGGTTAAAGAAAACCAAACCTTCAGGTCTTGCCCTGTTGGCATCTGTCCCCAAAAGAGCAATAGATTGCAGAGCAGTTTGTAATTTTTCAAGTCGATTAATTTTGGTTTGAGAGTCAGCTGTCTAGGGTCAAGAGAAAGGGAGTAAACATCAAACATGGACACCACCATATTCAGTGGGCCCCGGAGAAGATAGGGGAGGAACCAGGTAGAATGCCCACCGAGGGCGGCAGGCTGTGCTGGAAGGGGCCAGATAGAATGTGGCAACATCCCACAAGAGAAGAATTGGTTTTACATGGACTTGAGGCTGGAGGGGTGGCATTGGAGTCTGGTTTGGAGATCAGAGGTGGGTAACATTCCTCCGTATGGAGAAGGAAACATGGAAGTTCCGGGCCAAGGGCGTGGTACAGCTAACGGCCAGGCTTGTGCGCTCACAGAGCACATTCCAGAAAGGCGGCAGCCTGGTGTGTGCCGGGCCAGGAGACAACGTTCTCCGGGTGTGATGTTGGCACTTCCTCCTTCATTAACTTCCTGGGGCACCTCTGCCAGGCCAGAGTGGGCTGAAATGGGGCCAGATCCTGTTGGAGGGGGCACGGGGTGGAGGCTGGGACCAGCCTGCTGGCTGGCGTTAGAGTATTTATCATCAGGCCTACGCACACCCAGTCAGTCAGGTCTCTCCAGGTGCTGTGACTCACCTTGTCGGCTCCGGCGGCGTGGGGAGGGCAGCACAGGCCGGAGGAATTCTGAAGCTGGGTATTTACACTGATGATCTGTGCCATGCCCTCCTGTCCTTCTGAAATGAGGATGAATATTCCCATAGTCCTTTCGTGCTTTTTTTTTCTTTTGGTGTGTGTTTTTAAAATATTTTTATTGATTTCAGAGAGGAAGGGAGAGGGAGAGATACTAGATGTTTACTAGTAAATATTTAAGTTTTTAGAAAAGTACTTTTCCCCTCCTTTGCTTTTTTGTGTCTAATGCTAGGGATGAGTGGGAATCCAAGATGCCAGGAGGGACCTCGAGCTTGCTGGGGCCCATGGCTGGGATGGTGCCCACCTCCCCCAAAGTCTGTCTGGTCAGCTCAGAACCCCTGCTCTGATCTATTAGAGTCAGTTGTACAGGTTGGCAAGGCAGCAGCAGGTTCCAGGGCCAAAGGTCACAGAGTGGACAGTAATGCAAACAACTGACTCCACCACAGCTCCTCAGGTTCCGCAGCATTTGCCCTGGGGAGGGCGGCAGGTTGGGACTCTCGGGGGCCAGAGCTGAGGGATCCAGCGAGCAGGCACAACTCCCCCCGCCCAGAGGTGCAGCCTCCTCCTCTGGGACCCAGCTTCGCTGGACAGCTCCTGGCTCCCTGGCGCTGTCCTTCGTCAAGCTTCAGCTTGTCACCACCTTCCTGTCTCTGCCCATCTGGCCTGCTGGATGGTAGCTCTCTAGAGCCAGAGTCGTCTTCTTTTTTTTAAATATATATTTTATTGATTTTTTTACCGAGAGGAAGGGAGAGGGATAGAGAGTTAGATGAGAGAGAGTCATCGATCAGCTGCCTCCTGCACATTCCCTAATGAGGATGTGCCCGCAACCAAGGTACATGCCCCTGACTGGAATCGAACCCGGGACCCTTGAGTCCTCAGGCCAAACTGGTTAGAGCCAGAGTCTTAGACCAGGTGTCAGGCCTGAGCCCAAAGAGAGGCTTGGGGGTGGGGGGCCCTCTGGTCAAGCAGGTGGGCCAGTCGGGGCAGAGGGTGGCTCCCTCGTGACTCCTGGCCAGTCCAGGCTGCCGTCGGGAGCCCAGTCCGCGGTGGATATCTCGCCTCTGCTTTCTCAGTGGCTGCTTGGTTGGGTGGTTGTGTTGGAGCTAGGAGGTTGGGGTGGGGTTACTTTTTACCCCAGGAACAGGGAGAGGCTTCTAGTTGGAAAGCTTCATTCCCGGAGAAGACCTGAGTCAGGCCAGCGCAGCCAGTGGTTGGTGGGAGGAGGAGAGGGAGGAGAGGAGAGGGAGAGAAAAGCCGTGCGGCCAGCTTGGATCCGCTGCTTCATCGCTGCACCCTCTGCCCAGCAGGGGCCCAGGGGGAGGGTCACCGAGGCACCGGCAGGCTCTCCCTCTCCCTGATCGGCACGCCTTCCTTCCACCTGCTGTGGCTGCCACAGGTCGGAGCCTGGCACTGACTTGCTGCGCTCCAGGGAACAAGGCCCCTGTGTTCTGGAAAGTCTGCAGTCCTGCTTTGAGCTCTGGCCGGCCAGAAGGCTGCAGAGTGGCCGAGCCCTGGGCGAGCCATGGCCACACCCCGGAGTGGCTCCCAGCATGTGTGACTGTCACTATT